TCGCCCTCTTGCACGTTGGGCTGACCAGCTCAAGGAAGATGGTGAAGAAGATTGTGAGAAAAATGCTGAAGAGAAAGATGGAGATAATTGGAGGAGGCCTATACTCTATATGGGTCCTTGAGAAATTATTTCAAGTGTGTGTATATTTCGTAAATGTTTCAAGTAATAAATGAGGCTTAATTATTATTATCTCATCACGTATGTTGTGCCTTTAAGTGCTTGTCACATTAAAAATTGATTTTTTTTTCCTTGTACCAATGTATCAGTGTGCCCAGCGTTGGCATGTTTTTATATATAAATAAATAAACCTTAGGTCAAAAGTCAAAGTCAAATCGTTTATTTCAATTAGACCATCTAAAATGGCACTTTTGAACGTCAAAAAAAAAAATATAAAGATGATTCTAGTTGCCCCTTCCAAAAGGTAGTTTCGTGTGGAGAAGAATGGGCAAGAAACTCCACACTTACTCTTTTAAAATAGGTTTACAATATTTTGTTACATTTGTTAAATAATTATATGTGAAGACAATGTACTCTTAGAATAAACTACTATACTAAAAAAAAGTTAGTATACATGTTCCTCACATATTTACAAATATCGAAACCTTAGAATATTAACATTAAATAGTAATAAAAATATTAAAAAAACACAACAAAACAGTGTGTGAGATACAAAAAAAAATAATTACATTTGTAGCATTATATAAATTAAAAAAAAATAATAATAATAACAAAAATATGTTAAAGCAAAAAATCAGCAACCAATTTGATTTTGTCCAGGCTATAGAGCCAATCATAGGATTGTCCTATGGAGCAGGACCAGCATGTTTCCAAGCATTCTTATCTTGAATATAATCATCTAATTTGTAATATGCTTGTTTACAAAGTGTACTTTTAATAAAACATTTAAATTTTCGTTCATTTAGTTTTAAAATGTCACAAGGTATTTTATTGTAACATTTTACACAGTACCCCATAAATGAATTTTGAACTTTGGCTAATCTGAAAGATGGTTGAGCTATTTTATCTTTATTTCTAGTACTAAAATTATGTCTTTCATTTATTTTACTAAAAAGATGTAGATTCTTTCTTACATACATAATATTTTCATAAATGAATTGGCATTAATAGGGAATATGAATGTCTCTTGTATGTACACTTATCAATATTATTAATATCGGAGTTCATCCTACCATTGAAGGCACTGAATCGCCTATTTAAATAATTTTAGTTTAATATACAAACGATAAATAAATGCAACACTTGCGCGATCCAATATTGATAAACAATTGTAATATATTCTTACCATATTGGCCGGGAAATTGAGTCAGAACATAATTTATACCGCAATAAAGCAACAAAGGCAATCAATGGAGCATTTCATGAAACGAAACGGAAGGATGCGTGAATCATTGCCAACGTCGCAAGTGTTTGAAAAAGGCTCAAGATTTATTTATAAGTATGAATATATTAATGTCGGCCTTGTCAGACATTCATATGAATCTCATTTCTTCAAACACGGACAAAGATTACTGTAATAAATAATACCAATTAAGGTTTAGCTTGAGTTAAATTCAAGTTAGGTACTGATGTGAAATAACTATTTAAAAATATTTTTTTAACTTTTTAACTATAACTACTACCTTTGTTAGAGGTTGGTGACTATATTAGGACGTGAAATGATAGACGAAGATCAAACTACATCAACTGACCATAAGTTGTATTCCTCTTTCCAAATGTTTGTCGTGATTCTCCTATATTTCTTGTCTTGATTTTTTTTCTTAATTTAAGTTTAAATAGACTATAATACAAGATTCTGCTTGCCTGAACCACGCTTATTGTAGCCCGCCTGCGTAAGTTTCTGTCTTCAGTTTCAACACGTTATATAATAATAATAATATATTTTCTCCCATACAACATTTGCAACAAACAATAAGATTATAGTTGAGAAGGTTTTCGGAGACTGGTTTTCAAACAAGGTAAGAACCTGTGATATGGATAACCATATGAAAATATATATGTACAAGAAGTTCCATATAATATAAGAAATAATTAGTTTATGAAAAGAAAATTAACCACAAGATACTACTATATCACCCTTGTTTTCATTTTACATCTGAATCAGCTGCACCGATTTTAACAGGACTTAAGAAATTTAAATAATATTTTATATTTATTGTATTTGTATAAATAATTAAACATTATTTCTGTTAGTCTATAGCCACCAGATACTTCAAACTTTCCTAACATACATCAAGGCTTTTAATGCTTGATCGACAGTAGGTAATAAAAATAATCATAAAAGCGAACACGAACTCGACAGTGAAATCTGTTTCAAGCGAATTCTATATTGAATAACGATCGTTGTATACCTTTAGATATAAAAAAAAACATGTATAGGATATACTTCTAGTAGTGATATAGATGGATTGATGGATTTAGTCTTTAAAAGGCCGTCCTAACTATATCGCAAGATATGTAAATATTTTGTTGAAATTAGAAAAATGGAACCCTAGTTTACCAACTCATATTATAAGTAGGTACACTTCTAGTTTATACTGGCAACCCTGACACATCACTATTTGTAATAGTCTATGATCAAGATTCTTTCAAAATAAAACAACGTAGTCTAAAACCAAAATCGTTATTTTTCATTTGAATAATCATATTTAAGTATTAAATCGATTATATCCTTTGTACCCACTTTTACGCCGCATTAATAATACTAGACTTAGTTTAATTAAATACCATAGTTGACCAGAAGCTTAGTGTGGCCAACGTTCGCCACATGAACATTCTTATCTATCTATATCTCACATCTAAACCGAATCGAAAAAACAAAGGAGCAAGAATAATTTCCTAGCTTATTAGTCAGTCCTTTGACCCCAGTAATGTAATTCAACGTTCACTGATTAAATTCAAATTCTTATAAAACCCCTAGCGGAAGGATCAATTGAGCCACAATCGAAGGATGTCCCTACGGAATTTATGGTCGTGATTTCAATGTATAATCACCTCTAAGGCGTAGGCACACACTTTGAATATAATTTGTTTTATGTCTATCCTAAATTATCAAACCACTTCGTTAAGGCTTTATATATGTAAATTAGTACCAAGATCGAAATGGGTATGTTTTATGGTAATCATTAAGGAGTCAGAGGCGCCAAGGTGCCTTATTGTACTGTTAATACTTCAATTAAAATCTAAAGGACCTCCTAAGTTGTATAAATGTGGGCCAATTGTGTTTAGTCTTTCTTGGGTTGACTAAGAAGTATTTTTATTGTCTGCTATTAGCAAAGGCGAGATACAGATCATCTAAAAGTGTAAAAAACACTCCAAAAGTTCGATTTCCTATGTGTTATATATGTCAAAATAACTAAATTTAAGGCTGCTTTTTCGACTATACCAGCTAGCATCAAATAATTTTATAGGACGCAACAACTATGTATATCATTGTGGTCAAAGCATATTCTAACTGTAAAATAACAATTCACAGATTAGTAATTGAAAACTATCAATCAAGTTCACGAACGCATGAACCTTAGCAATAAAAACTGGCTTTATACATAGCATGAAATATGAATTGATTGGCTTCGAACCCTGTTCTATTCGATTAGCCGCGACCATGCAATTTTGGTGTTAAATTTGATTTTGTTATGGCACGTTTTGACTTTAAATACGCGTTTTCTTTTTCAAACAAAGGCGTATTTTAAACACTTTTTAGATAACTATACAATTTTTTTTATCACGAACGATAGATATCACGCCTTTAAATTTTTTTTTTTTTAATGATATTCCTAAATAGTTTTAAGTCTGGTCTGTGAGAAATTTGTATCAGTATCCGCACCTATTTTAGCATTAATGTGGAATAGGCAGAACAGTGTGGACTTAGTGGCTTCTGCTTGCAACTCTTATCCCTGAGGTCGTAGGTTCGATTCCCGGCTGTGCACCAATGGACATTCTTTCTATGTGCGCATTTAACATTCGCTCGAACGGTAAAGGAAAACATCGTGACGAAACCGGCTTGCCTTAGGTCCAAAAAGTCGACGGTGTGTGTCAGGCACGGGATCAGATCTCCTACTAGGCTATTACATTGACAAATGAGCATGATACAGATACAGAAATCTGAGGTCCAGACCTAAAATAGTTGTAGTGAAATAGGAGGCAATATCAGACATAGGTAGTTGCTCAACTCGAGCAAATTGAAACAATGTATTTATCAAATTTCCATTACAGTCATGTAATATATAATTTAAAACTAATTTAAATAGCTTTTGAGTTTTGATCGATATTCCAAATCGTGTTCTTGCCTGCACTTAACATGAGACACAGATAAACATTTTACATCGTTATATTTGTCACATGACAGTTGACATGTACGCCACAGAGTATCATACCAAAACCGTTAAAGAAATTGTGTCGGGAAAGGCATACAGTGCATATCTCAGCGAAACAAGTTCACTAAAGGTCACGCGACTGCAATTTCCATCCCAGATGGCATACGCTAATTAAAATCACGTCATAATGAATCACAGTACCATAAGCAATGTTACAAGTTAACCATTCGCCCGCAATGCGATATATGTAGGTGTTTACAGTTTGTCGAATGAGTCACCGAGAAAGTGGATTGAAATGGAATTTGCACTTGGCTTCGTTTTATGTGTAGAAGAAAAAGGTTCTAGAATAAACAAGGATTTAAAACTATTATCTATTTTCAAATATTTTATACCATAGATACGAACTACGCTAAGATTTTTTAGTTAATCTGTACTTGTACATAAATTAGACTTTCCAAATTCCACGCCGACACTTAGTAAAAAATTACGTACAACAAGGTACTCATTTCCAGCTCATATCGTTGATCATTCTTCTCAGTTGTTTATAAGACGCTCCAAACGACCGTTGAGATAAATTTCGCCGCACGAATTGTCCAAGCGATATCATCAAAACTGCGACATTTCAACAAAATAGACGCCCAAATACTTAGAATTGAGGTTTGAAAGTCAAAATCCGGCGACATGTAAATTCGCCACTCGAAATGCATGCTTTGACGAGTGGGGTAACATTCCTAGCTGGTAGGGAGCGGTCATTGACCGTCCTCTGGCGCAGCTCGCGATATACGTATAGCATAAGGTCAATACGGAGCGCAACCGGTTCTGTCGAAATACCATTGTTCCATTGACGGCTTTATACAGATCTGAAAATCAATTACCGAACTACGAGCGAAATGTAATTTGCGGCTTAGCCTAAACACAAATTGTAACATTCGAAAAGGCCTATATCGTACCTATGGATTATGTGGTAATCCTGCTAAATTACGTATGCGAATTGGTTTTCTTTCCGGTTAGAGTTGCGTTAGTTTCGTAAGTTTAGTGGGCTAAGTGGAATTTTACTAATGAGTTTTACATTTTTTAATTTGCACTTTCATTCATATTTCAGTGAGGCGTTCGCCATCGGCCTTAATGTTACATAAGCCAGCACTGCGGTATGCGATAAATTCCAGTGATAAACTGGAACACAATCACCGGTCAACTGTCTAAAGGCCGTTTACCTTTTGGCGACTGGAAAGAATCCTTATACAGTCACCCTAATTTATTAAAACTAAGCCTCCTTTAAGTAAAGTAAACAATCGTCTCTTTCTCTCAAATAGTGTTAGTACTGCGATGAAAAAAAGACAATATTTTATTAATGTTGTAGATTCAAACATTAAAATTTTTTTTTTTTAATTATAATGGGTTTTAATTAAAGAAAAAAAACAAAATTTTATTCATATATTAAAACACTATTTAGAAACTAAATAAATCTTACATAATTACCGAAAAACATTGTTTGTATTTATATTATACTAGCAGATCCGACACACGTTGTCCTGTACACGCCTTACATACATATAAACAAATCTAATATTATGTAAATCATTCTCGACTCCACTTGAACACACAAACATTTTTATCAAAATCTTTCCAGCAATTTAGGAGTTTAATTATGAACATATGCACAGAAGATATATATTATTATATGCCGGGCTGATTTGTGAATCTAAGCCATCCAGGGTGCCACCTAAACGCATACAATAAAATTCATTCAAATCGGTCCAGCCGTTTAAAAGGAACTCGTCTTGAAGTCCTTGAGTTCCACTGAACTCAGTGACATACACTCGTACAGTAGAATTATATATATAAATATGAGCATGGTACTGTTGCAAAGTATCGCTATGGTAACATAAATAAAACGAATAGCCAACGAACGAGCCAAACAAATTAGTCACTTTTCAGCCAAACATTATTCACATTGCAATTCTTAAAATCACACGTGACTCTGTTGGCACACAATTCTAGGTTATTTTATTTTATCAAGTGATAAAATAAAACCCAATTTCTTATCAATCTTATCAGCTACGAATGTTATTCTGGTCTACAATTATTTTACACATATTTTATACTCTTTCCTTCTAAACTATGCTATTGAATATTCGTCATGTTGATTGCCTGAATAAGACTTCTAAGAATCGTTTGAATTACTATTTAAATAATATTCCATTGTTTGGAAGTCAGATATAATAAAACCTACATACATACAATAATCTAAAACAGAAACGTATGCAGTAACTTCACCATACAAGGTTCAATAGTTCAAGGATTCGAATACTGGCGAAATAAATCACCTACTTCGCCACAAAATAACTATAAATATACAATAATTTTGTGCAACTTCCCAAAATACCTTTATTTACTACTTTTCTTTGATTAAATGTAACACTAAGACAATTTTTTTAAACCGTTTTAAACATTCACTATGTACCACGGAATAGTTGTTATTTAGTCACCCTCAACACAGGGGCTCGTGTGCGTTAGAACAACCATATTTCTATCTTGAATAAATTTTTATTTATTATTTTGTGAATCAAATTTAAATGACATCACTTATAATATGCAAATATTTGTATAATATGTATCGTCCACTTACCTTGAATTCCTTTCGCGAAGGTCAATCGATGCCACGAAGATTTTGAACTTTGTTCGAACAATGTTCACATGTAAGTTTCATATTTCTAGTACTTTTTTAATAACTATATCTAAAGATTGTTCGCTATATATAGAGATTATATATTTATATTATTTTGAGAAAATTAAATGTCCTAAAATATGTTCTTAGCCAGGAAAGTAACCAAGCGGCTTTGTAATAAATGCACTGAAGAGTTTCTTTACAGAGACATGAACTGTTTTTTTTAATTTAGAAGTTATTTGGTTTATGTACATATTCCATTCTATATGAAAATTATAAAAAACCTATAAACGTCTTAAATACGTGTTTTTCAATTAATTAAACTTGTTTTAAAATGCTTTTTATTCTTATATATTGCATTAATAGATTTCCTTTAAATAAAATTCCTACCTAAGTAATCACTAACTTCTATGTAACACTGGTTTAATAAATATATTTAGCTTTAGACATCTTGTAATAAGATGTGATTTTACTTAAGGAATAGTACTTCATCATAATGAAATAATTCATATACTTACTTTCATATCCGGCCGTCCAAGTCCACAGTGACACCATAGCCAGCAGCCAGTGATACATTAGGCCTTCGATCCTCCAATAGAGAGGGGCGTACAAGGGTCTCGCAAGACGCAGCGCCATCATCCACACGACGTAAGCGGGGATGCAGTATAGGTTGTTCACGATCGCGAATGCCAAGCGGGCCGCGACTCTCACGTACCGGCTGAAACAGCAGGGCCACGTCGGTTCATCCTTGCCGCCTCGCAATGCCCCGGGAGGGACTACGTACAAATGAGCGACTGACGGGGGCCCGTGGGGACCACAAAAAACGGGGCCTAGCGGCGAGGCGGCAACGCAACCGCGTTCTCCCTGCGTACAGCTGCCGAAGCGCGGGGGCTTTCGTCGGACGCGGACAATGGCGCTGCGCGAAATCAAACACAACAATACATTCGACGATATTTATTAATGGAATCGTTCACCGGTTCACTGTCGGTTATTTCATTAAGTAGACTGCGAGTATAAATTTAAAAATTAACCCGACAGCGAGCACACCGCTCGCCGGCGAGCTTGACATGATTGCAACACACATTTTACACCGAACGACGTAACATTAACTCGTACGCGAGCACACATAGACATACATACACAATTTTATAGTTTACGATGCATACTGTGGCACGACCGCGGCCGGTCGGATTCGTCGTGTAAAATTAATACAAAGTTCATTATATAAAATTAAAAAACGACATCGGACCGCTGAAATTATACAAAAATTACAATATTAAAGACTGTACACTATCTAATATATACAATATTTGCCAGCAATAGATATGTGCGAGGGCAGTTATATACAGGGCGGTGGGCCAGGCCTGTCGCTCAGACGTTATAGTCGTGCGCCATGAGGCCGTGCACCTGCTCGAGGCGGTATGCGAGCCGCTGCTTTTGCGAAAACTCGTCTTCCTCGAGAGTTACCATAAGCTGCTCATTATACTTAACCGCGTACGCGTACAGCTCGTTCAGTGCACAGTTCGTGTTAAACTCCTTCGTGTGCAGCCGCGACTCCTCCGCCAGCATTGCGTTCATATCCTGGTCGGAGATCGCAGGCATCAGCTTAATATCGGCATAATACCGCTCTACCCATTCCTTGTACACCGGAATGTCTTTTGCGTAAAGAAGCTTAGATGAAGGGGAATCTTTGCCTAAAATATGATCGGAAGTGGAACAAGAGTCCATAAAAGTCTGCCCTATCACGGATAAGCAAGAGTCGACAGTATTCGATTTGTGCACATCGAAAACGAAATTGGGATTTTTAATTAGATTAACCCAGAAACGGAGAGGTAACGAATTGCTTTTCCAAGTATGAACTACTTCAGGGTCGGATATCGCATGCTGAAGTGCTTGATCATCGAGGAAATCGAACATATACTTTATAGCGAGCGGCAAAGCGGAGCCCCGATGCGCAGTACTAAATATAGTTTCAAATAAATCATCGACAAACTTTTGCAGCGTACCCTTGGTGGCTAGTAGACGCGTAAGATATATTTCCGATACCATTTTATTACCTCGCTCTCCCTCTTTATGCGCATCACCGTCGTGGTGTCTCACGAGATGCCAGTATTTAAAGCCGTGCTCCAATTTGAGCGGACTGGCTGGGGGGCTAGCCGAACCGTATTTACCCCTGTTAAGCGTTTCGTAAGTATGCGATTTGTCGTTCTTTTCCATATTGGACAAATTATAAACGGAGCTCTGTTTAGCGACTAGACTAAGACAAGCGCCGTCCGGTACGCGGTAATGGTTGAGGGTATTCAGCTTGCGCCATTCACCTTCACATTTAGTGGTGCTGTCTTCGTCGTACAAAATTAAGCGGCCGCTAGCGCCCGTGCGCCACTCCAAATCTAACTCGTCACGACTCGGCCTTTGCGAATACGGTGTAGCGCGATAAATGGCATCTAAACACTTCTCCTTTACTTGGCTAATCGTATCACAGTCGAGAACTTTAACTTGCACGTTTTCCATGGGAGCCTCTAAACCGCTAACGAACAGCGTCTGTTGTGAAATGGACACGCTAACGGTCATCGGTTTGAAATCGATCGACTGCCTAATTAGTTTCTCTTCGCTTAGTGAATATCGTGCCTCAGAGGTTATAACATCTACGGGCCCTTTGTCTACTTGACCTTTCATAGATCTGAACAAAAGATAAAGAGGTTCGCCGGCGCATTCGCGAAGGAATTTATATAAAAGAAATGTGAACCAAGCGCTAAGCATTTTCTCGGCCACGCTCTCAGTTCTTCTCAATAATAACTTAGGATGACTTTTGCTCTCCATGCACTTTTCAATAAGCTCGGCCAATAGGGTCTTTAAAACGTCCGTACAATACTCCATTTTACTTTGTAAAGTAACCATTATAAGTGAAGCTACATTGACACGGTCGCGCATTGAAAAATATCTATTACTCTCTAAAGTACGAATAAATAATAAAAGGAATGTTTTATGTAAAATAAGTTGCCCAAACATTCGGAGACCTTTCTCTTTCCTCATAAGCTCTGGGCGCTCCCATTGGAGAACAGCATGATCGTCTATATTAGGGAACAATATTTTCATTGCGTACGTACGATAATCGAGGAAAGGTATACCGCCAGTTATATCTCCCGTCAAGTCAGTCATTTCAGTCTGTAACTCCGCGAAAGCCTCCTTGCACTCCGCAGCTACCCTTAACTCTAATATATCCATTTGCTCTTGCATATTCTTTAAAACTCTAATATTTTCAGTTGATTTACGCCTATACATAACTAGAAACACGACAAATACAAAAGTGAGTATTATAATAATTGCTACAACACCGAATAATACTGGTTTACCTATAGCTGCCGGAAGGCCAGCTTGAGACGAATACGATAATTTACCAATTTTATAGGTAAGAGCCCGACCGACTTTTACGATCACCTCGGGCTTTTCCACCCCGTCAGGCAGCTCGTCGCGGGACGGGGGCCGACACGTCAGTTGATGTCTCGCAAGAGACGTCACATTGCACACACTTTCTCCAACGTGTACTTCAACATCGCTCTCGGTACACGCCCTATCTAAATTCTGACCGTTTATAGTAAGATATTCAGATTTATAATACTTCACATCTTCATCAAATTTTTCGTATATCGGGTCCGGATAAAGGAGAAAGGCATCTCCTGTTTTAGTTGTTAGATTCAAAACGCTTTGAACATCGTCCATATTAAACCCGTACTCTAACTCTAACGGCCTATCGGGATCTAAATTAAGTCCTGCGCTTTCAATACCGGGCGATTCACATATGAGATGCGTTTGAAAGTCGACTCTATGGCAAGGGGCTGTATAAGGACGGTTGTCGTGATAGACGTATATTTGTGGAATCTGAATAGAATGGAAATTTCGACCCATAACTTTAATATTTATTCCTCCGGATGGAATGCCTTTTGGCTGCTTACGTTGCGATGCTAATAGTGGTCCAGATTCGACAGAAACAACAACAGGATCCTCTATATACTCAAATTTTTCCCGTTCCAAAGTACGCATACCATTATCGAAGCGCATCCGCAATGTACCCATTTTAAGCTGATATGAATGACTAGTTCTACAGTAAGCTTCCTCGTGTGATACTGATAAAATAACGCATGGTAGCTCGTCAATAAACGCTTGAATGTTACTTCCCGCGTTTAGGTACTCGCCTGTAATTCGCAATTTCGTGCCCCCCGATTGTGGACCATATTTCGGTTGAATAGAGTTTATTTTAGGATTGACAAAAGCGTAGTGATGTTTCGATTCACCGCGATAATCTGCCACGCGAACAACTACTGGTCCGTCTCTAGGAACCTCTTCGCCAGGACCGTCAACTGTGCAGACAATCCGCCTAGTTTTAACGTATAACTCAATAATCGGCTGACATTTAATACCAGCTATCGTAACGCCATTGTATATATCGGATATATTACGACCTAAATTTATTCCTTCAATAGTAATATTGGTTCCGCCATCCCAAGGTCCGAGCTGTGGTTTAAATTCTATAATTTCGGGATTTGGACATGTTTGTGTTCGATTGAGCCATACGCTCGGAGCCCCGCATTGTTCTTGAACTTCACACTTATCGGATCCCTGACACCATCCACAACCAAACTTTTCTGGTAAAGCTAAACATATCCCGCAGTTATCAGCCATATCATTACACCTATAGATGAGTATATGCGTATTATCCGGGTTGTCTAAAGGCTTAGAACCACCCCATATGACCGCAAACGACGCAGTTATGTTAGGAGCACGAGAAGTATATGTAAATTCAACGGCCTCGCAATAAATAGTATCAGCTAGGAGTTGAGCATTAACATGAGTCACCCGACCCTCTATATTAAACTGGCAAACAAACCTCGTTTGGACAATAAATTGACCTATAATGTGAACTTTTACTTTAATGGCTTTTTTAACACCAGAAGGAACTAAAATTTCATTTGTACCATCAGAGGTAGAATTAATCGTAGGACAGAAGCCAGGTCCTGAACGATAACTAGGACCTATCCTGCTCACGCCTGTGACGAGGATATCATTTCTACAATTTTCAGCTGTATCGTGTGTACATCGATGGCCGTCCACACACCAATCACAAGGAAACGAGGAACTGACGCACTGCGTGCACGAGCTGTACGTGTTACAATCAAAAAAGGTAAAATTAGAAGCTACAAAATCAGGTCCCTGTGTCGTGCGCACGGATAATTTTGCTGTAAAGTGGTGTTGCCCAGCGGGTATTGGTGGTAAGGTATCGGTTCGTGGCGTCGTACAATTAACCCCATAGGGCTTCCGAGTAGCATTTGTTATTAATGTTCGATCTAAAGCTGTAAAGGCACACAAAAATTGCCCATTAAGAGTCGGTAGGTTTTCGATAACTAAGTCTAGAGTTCTTGCAGTTGTTCGTTGTAATTGGTTTGGTGTTACTTGTGTAATAGTAGTACAACGTCCGCTGCGGTAAGAAATCCAATACAAAGGATCTTCCGCGGCTTCCTGACAATCGGAGCGTAGACTGCACTTGTTTTCGAGGGAACACCAACCACAATATGGATCTTTTGCTCCAAGGCATGTCAAACACGATTTGTACACGCTACATTCTTGAACCTTTACTTTAGATACTTTTCGTTCCGTCATCACATATAGATGCATTAATTGAGTATCAAAAAATAAATCCTTATTCACTGGCGAACTTTCGTCAACAACTATGTCACCATATTCAAAAGCTGATGTGGCACTCTCAACGACGATTTTCTTAAGGTGACCTTCAGCAGTTCCGGCGAAGACAACGGTGTAATCGCCTGTTGCTGTCGCTGCCACTGCCGTTAATCGCTTCTTAAACACAGCTACTGGTACTGCTTCCACCGGTTGTTCGCCGCCCAGCGGTGTATTTACATCCAGTCCGCAGAAATCTTCACTAATAGATTGCAATTTAGTTCCAATACATGAGTGTGACGGAGAAATAAAGTCTAAGCCTCTAGAACCGTTTCCACTGAAACATGTTTTGATGTTTTGCATAAATTTACGTCGAATTGCTTTTAAAGAATACACACATAAAGCTGATAGATTCGAGGGTACATTTGTGTTAATTGATTCACTTTGACTGAATGCAGCAAACAATACATCATGCTGCGCGGTTATTCCCAATTCGCCAGCCACCACAGATCCTGCTTTTCCAACGAATGCAGCTTGAACCAGATTATATCCGAAATTTCCGCCTCCTTCGCCCATACAGGACATGGGAATTTCAGTGTACGAATAATAATTCTCATCATCGTGACAAACACGCACCAGCTTACTGTAGTATGTATCAGAGCCAACACCCCTCAGCTGAGTACTTAAAAAGTAACTGAATCCTTCGGAACTAAATCCATACACATAGTTTATAGGATAACGTTCACGAGAAAGAGAATTGACAAACATTCGCGTTCCAGTAGTTACAGCTGTACGAGCAATCATAAAAAGTCTATCATCTTCTAAAGAACGGCTACAAACGGTGGGCACTTCCGATCGATATGGTGAATTACCAGTAAACGTAACTCCAATGTACATGACCTGCGTTATAGGTGGGTTCGGAGGCCCAGGCGCAATAAACGCTACGGTGGAAGCACTCGCATTGTTCGCTACGACCGGTTCACGCACTTCCCTTACATCATGCGAAATATTGTTTAAATTACGAACAGAACAAAGTCCTTGCAGCACCGAACCGCAAGTTATTAAGCGACTGGTCGCATAATCTATTACGAGAGCTTTATTCACATTGTCCGTCGACTTCACGAAATTAGGTGGGCAATCGAAAGTACACTGGGAGGAATCGTTGACCGGTCCGGTGTCGATCCTCTGGGCGACTTCAAGATCGGGGGACAACTGGAATAGTCGATTGACGGCGCCTACGTAGACTCTGCCCGTGTTGCGGTCAACGACGAGGTGGTTGAACTGCGTCGAAGGATCGTTTTTGTCGGTGAAGATGCGCACCACGTCCTGCGAGGCGCGCGCGGAGATGCACGCCGCCCCGAGGGCGAGCAGCACGCGCCACATCGCGCGATCGCATGTGGTCTACCGCCGTCTCCCGCGTAGGCACCCACCCGCCCATCTGGAACGCGATACACCGCTCAGCCACTGGCCGCCGTCGCCGCTGCGACCCCATCGCACCGCACCGCTCCGTCCAGTACTCTGATTCTACCGACTACGACTTCCGACAATCCTAGCTCCATTATCTCAAGTTAAAATAAGTGAAACCCGCTTTTTTAATATATCGGCTCGGAGAGGTCCAGTGCGATAAGATTACGCGCGCTGAAACCGAGGTGTTCCAGTACCCGTTTTTACCATGATACCAACCTATTTTACTGCCACACCAAAGAAACCTAAGCAAAAACCATGTAAGATAACAATTTAGTAAAAAAATTGAAATAATGCACAGATAATGTACCTACACGATGCGTAACCTGCTCGACGGATGTTTTTCAATTGCCGCAAACAAAAATAGGTTAGTACTAGGAATAAACGGGCACTGAGAGCCCCGACACGGTCAGTCAACTGATCATCAAGTATCAACGCCGACGAAAGCCTCAGCATCATAAAGGGGAGTAATAAAAAATCATATAAGTTGGCATGCTGTTCATACGAGGGAGCGAACGTGGTAGCGTAATGATAAATAAAAGTCAAATTAAACTTTTTAACTAACTAAAAACATTGACAACATCGATTTAATACTTACAGAATTGCCATGATTGAAAAAGAACGGACGAGCTTCAAATTGATATCTTTATAAGTCAAATTCATGTACAGTGCTCTGTCATAATGTGGACTCCGTGTTAAGTCCACTAAACCTGTAACAAATAAGACAGGTTAAGGCCCTTTGAGGCACATTCCAACCTAAATATTTTTCGATAAAATGTATGTTTAATCAATTATATTACTAACACAGTTCCAAATTACGAATGAAAAATACACTAAATTTAAGAGTTATTCGATAACTTGAACGCACCACTACAATACGGCACGGTTAGCCGTTGATGTTTATTACATTCCCTGCCATGAACTACCACCCACTCAACCCTAATGAAATCCACCAACCTACACACCGAAAGTAACGTAAAATCTATGGATACGATATGTTTTACTAAAGATCTTATTGTGGTATCGAGTAATTTGTAAATTTTTCGTAGAGCTATAGAAATTGAGGAAAGAAAGTCAGCCATTACGGCGCACGCGAGTCGATAAACGGAAGCCATTCCAATAAACGCCACGCATTCCCTAGTTATTTGATAAATGTTGTAACCCTAAACCTACCTTGAGTAAAGTTTACTGATGGCCGAATGCAATCCTTATAAAATCCTAAGATATGTTGTGGAATATCTTTGCACTATTGCACCACTTCACTAATTTGTACAATTTTTCACTTGTTCTATTATATACCACGAAACCACTTATAACGTACACTAACAGTTAAAATCACAACATTTCATTTCTATAAAATAACTTTTATCGAGGTACAAATCCGGTTTGTTGAGTAAAACTGGCCATTACACGAAAAATCCACGACGTGAGCATCAGTCTTGGTACATCGCAATGGAATGACGTCGGTTTCGTTTTTCGAACGAGTCTAGGCGTGACTAAAGACGACACTACCCGACAATACCCGATTCTGATTTTAGTTCAAGAATACGCCGCTAGGAGAAATCAAACTATGATGCGTTCAATTTTTCATTATTTTATCTGACAAACATTTGTATGTGAAAATTAATATTTATGTTTAGATTTTCGTTAATGTACACAGAAAATTAAGTATTTTACTAAACTTTTGTATAAAGATACTCAAATGTTTTGCTATATCAGTCATAGACTATATTACACTCAGAGGTTAGATTGCCTGAATTCAGATATAGTTGCTCGTTACTCGTTAGGCAACATATCACCTTGTATATATTATTTGTGACAATATATTCAATTTATATCAACGAATTTCTTGATGTCGCAATCCGTAAATGTTGAATATCTAAGCTATTGGTAAAAATATTGCTCATATGATACAATTAAGAAAAAAATAATAATTGCAGCACACTGATCGTTATTAAAACTGTTAATACATTTAATATTATTTTATAATAGCATTATATTTCGGGCTTTTTTTTTCGATGCCAAAGAATTGCGGTCAAATGTCTGTACTCTATACTGATCTGTGAAATTGATGGCTGATAGCCGTCGACTGTCATAGTGACAAACGTCAGCAACAACCCAATTAGAAAATAAACACTGGAGGTCTACTACGAAAAACGAAATAGGAATTAGGAAGTGACGAGTGCAGAATGGCAAATGGCAATTGACATATTTTGAAGAACGGCTTTTTGAATTGTCCGCTCAGGCGGCCGCTCTTTATTACTCAAATTGTGATTAAATAATTGATATCATGGCTTCATCATTGTTTAAACTATCAGCTGTCGTTGCAAACTCTTCAAAAAATTTACGATGCGTCGTTCGTTTGATGGAAAAACGAGATTTTTCTACTACAAATGTTACAGCGGTAAGTTGCATAACAGACTTTTCATTCAGATGTTCTTTCAATATCCTTGAGCACTTACTTCTCAAAACTAGTCTGAAAGAACGATATAACTTATGTGGAAATACCCTTTGCACCTGCCTGTTAAGAGTGAAGTAACTAAAAATAATACAACATCAAAAGGCATCATCTTTATTACAATTTAGCTTATGAATCTCATAAAGGCTTTCAAAGAATATTTTTTTGTTTGTTACATCTTAGATGTATAACAAATACATTCAGCTGTAATATTAATTCTTACTGTTATATACCATGAAAACACCTAAATGTTCTAATTAAATAAATAAGAAATTACTAGTAAAAGTGTGGACTTAGTATTGTCTTTGATTTACATAACCTTTACACATTTAAAGAAAAAAACTGTTTAACCGGATTGAAGTTATGTACTATTATAAATTTACAACTACCGTGACCACGCACGCTGTAAAGCACGCGAAACGTCGGATAAATTTAAAATTATGTTAAATAGTTGTAAATTTATAATAATACATAACTTCAATCCGGTTAAACAGTTTTTTCTTTAAAAGTGTGGACTCTTAATCCTAAAGTAGTGTTCATTTGAAATCCCTTTGTGCACAGTTAACACTTGTATGGCATATTGTCTAATCACCTAATCGTCTATAAAAATCAAAATGATCTAAGAAATGCATGCAATCTTAGATTAACATTATATTGTTATTGATTAGATTTTTGATTTATGTAATTAATTCTCTCATTTAATTTACCTAAGACATTAAAAAACTAGTAAAGATTTAAACCACACTGATAACTTATAAGGCAAATAACTTATATGTATTACTTATTTAAGTTTAATGATAAATACATATTAGATTTGATGACATTTTATAAAAACAAACACCTTATGTATGAACATAGGTATAAATCTAGCTAACATACTATACAATATTATAATAAGGTTATAAATAGTTATTCTAACATTAAAGTTCTAACAAAAACATGAAACTTTTAGGTTTAATAAATGTATTTTTTTCTATTTATGTGCTCTGTCCAGAATTTTTTTTTTTTTAAAGCAGGAATTTTATGTGATGGGTTTTCTATTCCTTATATAATGTTACCTTAAATCATGGCGACTATAAGGTCAATAACATGATTAGAAAGCACAAATTATCAACAAATATTTATTTCTATTATCAAATCAAACGATTAATGTTATTAATCAGTTTATTAAATAAAACATTTCCTTCACATAGGCTAAAATGAAGCTATAAAATTGAAATGAAAAAATGAGATGTTTTTTAACACTGGCACAAACAGCATATATGTACTTATAAATTTATTTTATACTGTATAATGAAATTTATTTTAATATTTCTTACAATAAATCGAAGACATTTTTGCCCATTCAATTTAATATTAAAATATCGAAAAAAACATTCTTAAGTTGGTAACAATTATATGTACCGCTTAATTACATTGCGGCGACCCTAACCAAACACAAAGATAACGGTGTTCACACGCCGTAGGTACAGAAAATCCGATTCAGTCGGTTGCTGCGACCCGCCGCACGCGCAGTTTGATATCATTAAATCTAGAGGCAATATATGCTATTTCGCCACGAACCTGTTTGTAGAGGATACCAATCGCTAAACAAGTTTTGCGTGTCGCGACGAACGTTTATTTCGCGTTCCAAGTTTGAACTCTATGTCTGAGAATTTGTCTGACTGAAAAGTGTCATCTGTCAATTGAAACTGTATATTTGGGCTTTTGTATTTTGTAATATTAATTAAAATGGCTTGTTCGCAATGTATGAGCTCCGGAAACAAAGCTGTGAGAATGGTAAGAATAATTTGCATTAATCAGTAATACCTTTGTGCTTGATCGAAGTTTTGTGGTGTTTGACTATCGCATAAGTTGTTTAGTTAAAAATCTTGTTATACTGTTATCAACGTAATAACTTGTTATTCTGATCATTCTGATACCTTAAATTCGTGTCACAAGTGAATAGAATAATGTTACGTACTAACTTTCAATTATTACAATCAAAGTAGAAATCGAAACTTGCTTTTATTGGTAACCTTAATGACTGGACGTTACGTTGAAAATATTGTTTGAAACTTCTATATATTATATGCTCCTATATGCCCAGTCGCTATGTAATTACTGGGTATGTTTTATGAGTATCTCGCGTTACACAATCTTAATTTACACCGTGCGGTATCAAATCGTTAGAATTCTTAGTATATTTGTTTCATCTCTTAAGAAAGGACCTACTGTGTTAGTTCATAAAAATGGAAACAGTTCGTATTAATAAAGAACATTGATTTGATTTGCTTGATCTAAATAGAGAACTAGCTATACTTTAAGAGCAGTGTTGGCATAGTGGTTTCAACGTGCGACTCTAATCACTGGGGTCGTACCCCGGCTGCACTAATGGACTCGGTCTATGTGCTTCACTCGTAGTGAAGGAAAATATCGTGAGGAAACCGACATTAGATCCAAAATGTCGGTGTGTTTCAGGCACAGGTGGTTGATCAAAGTATTTGAAATGATCCCAGAACATTATATTACACACACATTATATATACAGATATTTAAGGGATAAAACCTAAACGGTTAATATAGCAGCCCAAATGCTTATTGTAATTTATAAATATATATTATATAATTTTTATTTAGTTGTGTGTACATTGTGTTTACAGAGGAAAGAAAAGGACACGATGGGGGAACTGGATGTTCCTGACGACAAGTTGTACGGCGCACAGACCGTGCGATCTATTATGAACTTCCCCATTGGCGGTATTGAAGAGCGTATGCCTGTATGTATTTACACATTATGTATTCAAATCAAAAATCTATTTATTACCATAGAGAATGCTCAGAAGTTGTTCGTCGTCGGACGAGACAGAATACGAAATTGCGTCATTCCACAACTGAGCGTTGTTTAAGACAGTTTTTATCGCACACCACCACTATGTCGAACCAGAAAAAGGTTGGCAACGCACTCACGAGCCCTCTGGCGTTGAGTCCATGGGCGGCATCACTTAACATCAGGTGTACCTCCTGCCCGTTTGTCCCCTGTTCTATAAAAACCTCAGTTCTCAAATCAAGACGTAGAGTGTTAAAAGAACTGGCAAGGAAGTCTCCGTTACTCTTTTTTTAATTGCCAAGTTTAATACAAGGAAATTGAGAACTGCAACCATTACATGTGTAATGTCATATATTTATAGAATTACTAGCTGACCCGGCAAACGTTGTGTTGCCATGTATATTATTTCTAATGGTGCGTACAGACTATGTAACATATTATATAACTTGTGTTTTATAACACGTCCACATTATGTAACCTTGGTATTCAACATTATAACATAAAACAATACTGTACACATTAGAATAACAATGCAATATAACAATGTTATATAACCATTTTAAATAACAAAAGAAAAACGTATATATAGTATTTGTATAAAATATTGGAATTAGTATATGTTATACCCTAATTTTAACTATGGACCCTCTTGAACTAGAAATTAGAAATCTAATTTAATTATAGTTGTTGAAATTAGGAGGCTTCTAAAATTAACAAAATCTATTTCGGTTATTGTTATTTAATGAAATCTGTTAAATATAATTATTACACAATAGAATAATTATCTATTAAATTATTACTGAAGTCGCAGAAATATCTGCTACTAACCTACATTTCGAGGAATCTTTGTACAACAATTCTTATTTCTCCTAAATGTTTTACAGTATCCAGTGATTATCGCGATGGGAATTTTGAAAAAGGCGGCCGCTAAAGTCAATGTTGAATATGGATTGGACAAAAAGCTTGGTAAGAATAGCGTAATACTGTTTTATGTAATTACTTAGACTACAATACTCATTCGCGTAGATACTGATCTCGTGGTAGTGGTAAGTCTATTAAGTCGGACTATAAATATATTTTTGTTATCATAAAAGTTTTATTTTACTTAGTTTTTAATTACTTCCTTTCAGATTATTAGATACAACCATACATTCATAATCTAATCAATATACAGATTTTACTTTACAACGATTATATTATATCGAATTTTTAAATTCCTAACATCATTTACGTAGAATGTCCGACATTAGTAAATTTAAAATACTCTGCAGGTTTTGAAAATTCTTGATTTCAAGTAGGTAATGAAAGAATTTTTTAATCAGTCCGGGAATTTTTAGCTTGATTATTATAATTTGTTAAAAATAAAAACAAATATTTAAAATGTTCTTCTATAATATTAGACAAGAGATTTATTTGTAGAACTTCCCTATACCCCTATTCCCTATACATTTGATAGCCTATGTCAGTCAGTAAAGATATTTTTTTTGAAGTTATACTTCTAGGCGCGTTATGAAAAATTGATGAGAGTGAAATTTTACGATGCGCGCGCACCTGAGACACAAAGTTGTCAGTGTGATTATAGCGTGCGCGAGCGAGGTGGGAATAAGACAATCTACAAGTAAAAAGAAATAGAATATCGTGAAGTTAGCAGCTATGCCAAGAATTTTGAATGACCATAATGACATTTACCTTTTAAACAAATAAAGGGGTTTTAATTATTTTTTCAAAGAAATTTAGGAATGCTTTTTCACAAAGACCTAATGTTACTTAGTTAAAAAGTTATGAAACATACCAAGTTATTAAATTGAATGAATAATATAATAAAATAATAATAATAATTGTTATTAATATTAATTAATAATTGAATAATATATTAAATATTATTAAATTGTTTACGTTAAATATTAATTATTAATTAATTATATTAAAAAAAAATAAAGAAAGCCAAAAAAGTATAACTTCTTACGCTCGTACATAAGTACACGCACCCTTTTTTCTATTTTATTTCTAATGGTGAAATAATTTTTGCAATCGGTCCATTAGTTTTTGTGTGAAAACACTACAAACATACCTACAAAAACACAAATGTTCCCTCTTTATAATATTAGTATAGATTAATAATTCCACTTTTGAGACCTTTGTATGTGACTTTGATTTCTAACACAAACGACGTAATCAGAAAATATAAACAAACAAATGAATGATGAAACAATGAAATCAAGAGCCTATAGTATATTTTCTTTAATTAATATACAATTTTTATCTGACCTTAAATCGACTTTGAACTTATCAATGTCGACAATTATGCGGTTAGCAATGTCCAGAACGATATGATTTCATATCAGTAAAGAGTGATATAATTTCCAATTTAATGGAGAACCATGTATTTTCTGTTTCTTTATTCATTGAACCTCTGAAAGTCTCTGTATGATATCGATAAATTTATTGTCGAAATGGAAAGGTGGCTCTTATTACAGACATTTTTTTAGATTATAAATAGGGTAAGGATTCTCATCACAGTTTTGACATATTGGCTTTGTGTCGTCTACTATAACTAGCCACGCATCCAGATACTTCAAAATTAAAAAAAACAAAAATCATTTACTCATATAGGTAACAAAATGTACATTTATGAACGTCAAAAAATAAATATATATGAAATGCATCTAATTTTACATTTACTGCCAGTTCTCAAATCAGGGGCGTAGAGCGGAAGAGAAGATCTGGCAATAGGCTCTCCGCCACTCTTTTTAATCGCCAAGTTTTTGTTTTACACAATGTTTGTAAGGAGCTGCAACCATTACACAATGTTCCACATGACATCTTAAGTAATTAAAAACAAAGATTTGTCCTCTATCAGCAGGAGCCATGGTGAAAAAGGCGCACGCACTTACATTCTCGTGGGAACAACACGCAAATACATAGTCCAAATACCTAACATCACCGTATACACGAATTCAAGTCCGACCGGTCACCACAAATTAACATACATTTTACCTAAATATAAATAACTACATTAATCTTAACATAATCTACTAGCATTCTTAATCTTGTAACTGGCGTAAAGATAAGAAAATTATTGATTTGCTTGGCAACTGTGGATGTATTTTGGACTGGGCATCTGTAGCATGTAACCCAAGTACTAAGAATAGCTACGCCCCTAAGGTTGGTGGAATCACTTACGGCCGCTTTCTATACTCAAACCCAATCCAATTTTTAACACTAGAGATGTTTCATTCTATTTCTCAGAAAATACAGATCGAATTTTGACATTTACCAATCTGAATTTGTTAAAATCTGGGTTGGAAATAATTGTTTATAGATCGAGTATAGAAAGCGGCCGTTAGACGTTCATCAGGTTCATTGTGCGTAAAAGAGCTCCTATACACTGCCGTGATTAAGCCAATGCTAACGGCGTAACTATACCATATGGGGCCCGTGGCAAATCTTCTTTCGTGCTAATTCTTTTGATGGGGCCCTCAGTAAAATCGTCCCTACTCAGTTTAATGTTAATAAACTTCCGAGATTTTCAGTGTACGAGAGGCGAGAGGGAATGGTCTGTAGTCCCACGCTAGCCTTATGCGTATTGGAGACTTGACATTCATCCATAGAACATAATATCTCTTGGGCATCCCTTTTAGGTCGGGGGCCCCTGGCATTTTGCCAGCCCTGCCACCCTATTGTTACGCCACTATCTCGATGGAGATAATCCTGCAAATTGTACCCCTAGACCTCTACATACGGCAGGAGGCAGCAAATTTTGAAAGTAAAGTGAATTTATTATCTGTGTTCCAGCTGATGCAATAATGCAGGCGTGTGATGACGTAATCTCTGGCAAGTTATACCGTGAAGGACACTTTCCGCTTGTTATCTGGCAAACTGGCTCTGGGACTCAGAGTAACATGAACACCAATGAGGTTGGTACCGTATTGTCCTATACTGGACAAACACCGCATAGACTATAGAATACTTAACACATTTTCGTTTTTTTACACAGATATTAGAAAATTCAAAATAAGACTTCTATATAATTTATGGTCCACATCGAAACCACCTTTTTTAATTTATTCATTTTTTAATGTTCAATGTGTAAAACAAATGACGTACATCTCTGGAGATTTTGTTCCCGACGAAACAATTATAACAATAATCTGCGTCACAATGACACATAGGTACCCACAACATTACGATATTGTTACATATGTATTAAGTTAACCATTTATTTATTCTCATAATTTAAAAATCACTTATGATAATACCCTCATTTAAAAAGTGTGATCTGCTGTCTCTTTTCATCATACTGTTATCACAATTTGACAGAAAGAGACGAAAAAGTATTAAAGATTACCATTAATTTTATTTATTGAAAGTGAAAGTGTGACGGTGGTGTTCCACCGTTTCCAAATTGGTCAAAATTACTCCGTTCCACGAATACGTCGACATTCAATAATGTAGTAATATTCGTTTTTATTGATCCTTCTTGCGTCTAATTCCTTCCAATTATATTTCCAGGTTATCGCCAACCGTGCTATTCAAATCCTAGGAGGAAAACTGGGAAGCAAGGACCCGGTACATCCGAATGACCATGTGAACAAATCGCAAAGCTCAAACGACACTTATCCAACCGCGATGCATATCGCCGTGGCTATGGAGTTGAGAGACAGATTGATGCCTGGTTTAGTGGCTTTGCGAGACACCCTCGATGGCAAAGCCAAGGAATTCGATAAGATCATCAAGATTGGCAGGTAAATGGATTTTTCTTACTTTCTTTCTTACGATATTTGTAAGCTTTTGCATAGATTTTATCGCGGGCTTTGAGCGCGGCGACCGAATCAAGAAATTCCGTAACGAAAATAAAAACCTAACACACGATGACGTAATATAGGTGCGGCCAATACGCGTTAGAGCGGGACAGAACGCACACTGCGTATTCAAATCTCTCTGACGAGATCGGTGACGCCGGTACGCGTTAGAGTGAGACAGACTATATAGGCGTGTTAGTTTGAGTCTGGTAGAGTGGTAAAGTGGAAGATTGAAATATTGAATTAATATTAAATAAAAAAAAAAGGTGCGTGTACTTATGTAGGCGCGTAAGAAGTTATACTTCTTTGGCATTATTAAAAATAGTTTTTGATTGCATGCAAATAATTAATTACAATTAAATAATCAAAGACTGGAAAAGGAGTCATTATAGTCAATTAAGTTCAGTTTACATTTGAAAAATTAAATAAATAATTATTATTTATTATTATTCTCTTACATAAGTGTAACATAAATTCTATTATTAAAAGTATATATAATTATATATTTAGAACATCTCTACCAAACACTAAGAAGTATGTTGTAGTTTGAGTATTGCACAATATAAAATTAATAAATTTCTTTGAAAAAATAATCAAAACTCCTTTATTTTTTAAAAGGTAAATGACAAATGTCATTATGGTCATTCAAAATTCTTGATACGAACTTCACGATATTCTATTTCTTTTCTTTAATTTTTTATCTCCTCACGCTATAATCACACTCCCAATGATGGGATCGAAAAATTTTCCCTCATAAATTTTTCATAACGCGCCTAAAGAAGTATAACTTCAAAAATACTGCATAAATAAAAAATAAATAAATAATTATAATTGCGCAAGTTGTTAAAAAATGCTATGCAATAACTTTACGTAGAGTCCCACACATTTTTTTAATGATAAACCACTGCCCATGGACCCTCTCAATGCCAGAGGTCGCGCGAGTGCGTGGCTGGCTTTTTAAGAATTGGTACGCTCTATTATTGAACTCTAAGCCTGATAGCTAAAATTATGATTCATTAAATAAAAAAGTTGACTTTAATATTTGTAATTGTTTTATATTATTTCCTTACTAGCCTAGAAAAGACTGCCTTGCCCACATTTGTTAATGTGTTGATAAAATACCAAATATTTCAGAACCCACTTGATGGATGCAGTGCCTCTGACACTTGGACAAGAATTCAGTGCGTACGTGACCCAATTGACGTTCGGTATTGAGCGTGTATGTTCGACACTACCGCGTCTGCACTACTTGGCGTTGGGCGGTACCGCAGTGGGTACAGGACTCAATACTAGGATTGGTTTCGCTGAGAAGTGCGCCAAGGAGATCTCTAATCTTACCGGTGCGTTGTTATTGTATGTTTAAAAAATAACAGAAATGTCTTTTTTTTTCAAAAAACATTTAACGGACTGGCGACTTCAAGATAACAGCTTAAAAAATATGTAAAACAGACAAATGTAATAAAAAAAATGTGTGCGTGTACTAGGTGTACACACGTAAGAAGTGAAACTTCTTTATGACCTTATTAGAAACTATTTCTTTAAACACAGTAAATTTTGATACACTGCCTAGCATACAATTTACAAATTAATTGCTGCAAATTGCGATTAGCGAATTTCAAGTCGAAAATGTAATCCGTTGTCAAACTTCAAAGTCAAAAACATACTATATGTCATATATTAACGCCGATAAAGAAGTTTGACTTCAAAAAGCAACATGGCGCGTAACGAAAAAATGTGACGCGTAACGCAAAAATGTTACACTAAATTTTTTTCCAACCCCGATAAAGAAGTTTCACTTCAAAAATTCGTTAAAACCTTTGTAGGTCAAAACCTAAGATTTCTGTATCTGTTTCGTGATAATTTTATTAATAGACAAGGGAGCGTTCAAGTGTTACGTAACGTATGGTGGTTTGTAAAACGTTACGATGCATACATCCCGTACTTACGAATGATTGTTAATATTATTTTCGACTTTACATCACATGGTAACTTTTAAGTATAGAAAAACACTTTTTTAACGGATTTGAAGTTATGTTTAATTATTATTAAATTTAACCGACGTTTCGCGTGCTTTACAGCGTGCGTGATCACAGTGACTGAAGACAAAAGGTGTTGAATGTCAAAAAGTATCACAGCTGTAGAAAAAGTTGTGTTATCTGTATTTATTTCCCCGGAGTAGGTATCAACTAAAAGATGGAGGGTTTTGGCAGAAATGACTCACGGTTGACATTTATGATAAATTATGATTAAACATAACTTCAAATCCGTTAAAAAAGTGTTTTTCTATGTCTAAAAGTTATGTCATTAAAAGACACGAAACGTTTTACTATTAGGTAATTGGGGGGGGTCAAGAATCTTCAAAAATTGCGTGAGCAGTGAACACATGTCTACTTTTTTGGTTTCTTCGTGTTTTATCCATCACAATACCACCGTGTTAACCGTGTTCGAACCTACATCCAAACTAAATCCATTGGGATAAGGGTCATTCTGGGGTTAAATTAAATTTTCAGGTATTCCGTTCGAGTCCGCCCCAAACAAATTCGAGGCGTTGGCGTCACACGATGCAATGGTCGAAGTTCACGGAGCGTTGAATACAATTGCCGTGTCATTGATGAAGGTATAGAATAAAAATCTTTTTATACATAATAAAAAAGGATATTTAGTTAGGAAGAAAGTACACTGCATACTAGGATTCCCTGTATCGTGGGCAGCTTCCCTTCCTTTTGACACATTAACAGTACTTGTATATAAAATAACTACTGTTGTAAGTGATTAAAGACGGAAGGATGCTGAAAATATATATTATGTATGTTAATAGTTAAGCTATATTCAGAATTCTGAAGAAATAGATGCTCTGGAAATGGAAATTAAAAGGCCGGCAAAGCACTTGCAAAGCCTTCTAGTGAGTGTCCATTGACTTATCATTTAACATCAGATGAGCCCTTCTGTCCGCTTACCTCCTATTACAAAAAGAAGTGTTGGAGACGGATGCTTTGGATTCCCTGACAGCTAAGGAACCAAACGTGTCCATACTAAGACCATTAAAATCGTTTTTTATGTCAAATCTTGAGGTTTTTTGGCCATGTATCACACGCATAGATCCAGAGATTTTAGAAAAAGTCATGGATGACTGACAGAATGGAAGGCACCAGACCTCATGGCCTATTCTTTAACGCTGGACCGATCAAGTATGGCCCAAGCGCAGAGGCCGAAGACGGGAGAGTGGAGGAAGTAGTGCGGCTAACACGACCTTCATAAATGAAGAGTGCCACTGAAGAGGATTTTAACGAGATGGTTCTGAAACGAGTTGGAATGTTTGTTTTAAAAATTATACATTTACTGCCAGTTCTTGAATCAAGAGCGGAGAACGGAAGAGAAGAACTGGCAATAAACTCTCTGCCACTCTTTTTAATCACCAAGTTTTTTGTTTTACACAACCTTGTACAACGGAGCTGCAACCATTACACCATGTTCCACATGACATCTTAAGTAATAAATAATAATAAATAAATTAAAAACAAACATTTGCCGCAATTACATTCTCGTGGAAACAGTACGCAAACACATAGTCGAAATAACTAATATCACCGCATACACGAATTCAAGGACGACCAGTCGCCACAAGTGACACCCGTTCACGAGTATGACGCATGGCCAGCCATCGGCCCCCTCGCCATATTTTAGGGAGAGAGACAACCCGACCCATGGAATTATAAACTAGAGTTAGGAATTAGTATTATAATTATTTCATTGTAACATTCTTGTAAATAAAAAGTTTAATTTTTATCATTGATGAAGTACTGTATTTATTAAACTAAGTTCTTTAGATTAAAAATTATTTCAGATTGTAAATGACATCCGTCTTCTAGCTTCGGGACCTAGGTGCGGTCTCGCTGAACTGCTTTTGCCAGAAAATGAACCAGGGTCTTCCATTATGCCAGGTACACACATTACAAAATATTCATGATGAGTTAATTATTTTGTCTGTCTGTGGTAACTAAACCTATTTAATGCCAGAAGGAAATGTAGGCCTTTTAAAAATCGATTTCTTGACTCTCTTTTTAAGAATCGATTTCTTGACTTGACTCCCTTTTAAGAATCGATTTCTTGACTCTCCTTTTAAGAATCGATTTCTTGACTCTCCTTTTAAGAATCGATTTCTTGACTTGACTCCCCTTTTAAGAATCGATTTCTTGACTCTCCTTTTAAGAATCGATTTCTTGACTCTTTTTAAGAATCGATTTCTTGACTCTCCTTTTAAGAATCGATTTCTTGACTCTCTTTTTAAGAATCGATTTCTTGACTTGACTCCCCTTTTAAGAATCGATTTCTTGACTCTCTTTTTAAGAATCGATTTCTTGACTCTTTTTAAGAATCGATTTGACGACTCCTTTTAAGAATCGATTTCTTGACTCTCCTTTTAAGAATCGATTTCTTGACTTGACTCCTTTTAAGAATCGATTTCTTGACCCTCTTTTAAGAATCGATTTCTTGACTCTCCTTTTAAGAATGAAAATCGATTTCTTGACTCTCCTTTTAAGAATCGATTTCTTGACTCTCTTTTTAAAAATCGATTTCTTGACTCTCTTTTTAAGAATCGATTTCTTGACTCTCCTTTTAAGAATCGATTTCTTGACTCTCTTTTTAAGAATCGATTTCTTGACTCTCCTTTTAAGAATCGATTTCTTGACTCTCTTTTTAAAAATCGATTTCTTGACTCTCCTTTTAAGAATCGATTTCTTGACTTGACTCCCCTTTTAAGAATCGATTTCTTGACTCTCCTTTTAAGAATCGATTTCTTGACTATCTTTTTAAGAATCGATTTCTTGACTTGACTCCCCTTTTAAGAATCGATTTCTTGACTCTCCTTTTAAGAATCGATTTCTTGATTCTCCTTTTAGAAGCTATTCTCGCCGTTTTGTGAGCTATCAAAGGCCGTTAAGCCAACAGCGAGATTTTATTTCATAAACTCTATTTTCTACTTACATGAAACTAACACGCCCTTATTGTAATTCCAGGCAAAGTCAACCCGACCCAGTGTGAGTCGTTGACGATGATCGCGGCTCAAGTGATGGGCAACCACATGGCGTGTACCATCGGCGGAAGCAATGGCCACTTCGAACTGAACGTCTTCAAGCCTATGATGGTCGCCAACGTCTTAAGGTCTATACGACTCATTGGTGAGTGGATTGAACGATATGATCATTCTGGAACGTTAACCGTAAAATTCAGTCAAATTATACGTTCCTCAAAAAAATAATATAATTTAAAATAATAAAGCATTTTTATATATGGTTTTGGCCTATCGTGTATTTGTTAAAAAAATACATGTTTAATTGAACAACTTTTTTTGAACACAGTTAAAACAGGAAACAAATTTATCTTAGAAAATATAATTTATATTTTCATTCATCTCCGATCTTCCAGGTGATGGATGCCAGGCCTTCAACAAGAACTGTGCAGTGGGCATCAAGGCCAACACTGCCCAAATTGAAAAGATCATGAAGGAGTCGCTGATGCTGGTCACCGCACTCAACCCACACATTGGTTATGATAAGGTATTGAAACAGTCTGTTTCAAATAACGTCAAAATTATTTTATAATGACTAAAACAGTTTAAAAAAACTATAGCAAAGCAAGGAAAAAAAAATTGCCCTTGCTTATGGTTTTAGATTTCAATTTCATGACTCACGCCGTCAGATTTTGACTGTAATGCAAGGTTTCCTGACGATGTTTTCTTACACCGTACGAGCTAGTGTTAAAGGCTGATGGTTCCTAGTGAACAAACGACCTTCAATATCAGAATCCCACGCGGAAGCTAGTAGACTAAGACTGCATTATTCAAAGAAAATTTTTAATCAAAATCAAAGTAGATTATTTGTGAAAGAAATCTTATTATTAAAAAAAGATATTTAGTTAAAAAGACTGTACTATTTACTGATTTAGTTTAGAGGCTAATAAAGCTTCTAAGCTAAATCAAAGTATTAAATAAATTAAAAAGCAATTAACAATTGGTCGTAAGGTTAAATACTAAAGGAAACCGAATTTAAACCTAAAAATCTATGCTTCAGGCACAGCTTACCTTTTTACCTACTAAAGTAATGAAATTAATTATTAAAAAATTATTTTCCAGGCGGCCCTTATAGCCAAGACGGCGCACAAAGAAGGTGGAACTCTCAAAGATACTGCCATTAAACTAGGAATCTTGACCGCTGAGCAGTTCGACCAGTGGGTGAAACCTGAAGACATGCTGGGACCGAAATAGATCCCAAGCCCCATGAACCTGTGTTGAAATTTTTGTGTGAACTTGGCATTTTATTGGCATGCATAGGCAGATAATAGACATTTGACTATATCATATGCAATATGCTTTTTAAACCGGACAAAACCTGTCTAATTGATATTGTTGTTGCCTAATTTATTAAATACTGTCAGTATTACTGTTTCTATTGGAAGTTTAAAACTATTCTGAGGACGGGTTTTATTCCGGTAAAATCATATCGATGTTAATGGTCTATATTATACAACAAACAGTACTTTTGTTTTAATTTTTTTTCGTGGGTCTCAAACGATGACCTTTTAGTACAAATAATGACCAAATCATCATTATTTCATTGATTAAATAAATAATCTTAATTAAATTAAATGTCAAAATGTATTAAGGCTATGTTTGAAAGCTATTTAAATGAAGGATTTTAAGTATCTATGCAAAATGACTTAAACATAGACAAATTATAGAACTAACCTCAGCTCATTAATATATAACAAATACATTACTAATTTACATCATTTAAGATCAAATTGATTTAATAAAAAAAATTTACTCATTTAATTAAATAAATAAAAAATCCACTTAATAGGGTACGACAGTAGAAGCATGAAATTTTATGGTTATTAAAAAATTTGCCAAAACTTAATTTACTTTCCAAAAATTCATAAAAATTGGTGAAGCTGTTTCGGATTACCACTGTGACCAGAGAATTCTGCTATATATCATCAGTTTTTCAGCCCAGGTTCTTAATAAATATCCCATAATTTAATGGAATGACATTTTATTAAGAAAAAACGTCTATTTAAACCACAACTAAATTTGTCTCTGAATTTAAAAAGTTTAAATTCTGGCTTTCAAAAATTTATACAAACTATGATCAAATGAGAATTAATATGCATATCTCGGCAGTATTGAATAAAAAGGAAAACTTAGTACAAGTTGAACAGTTTTATGAATTTTCAAATTTTCGGGATAAAATTCTCAAGTAAAGAAAGCTCTGAAGTAAAGAACTTGGACTTGTAAGTTTTTGTTACATCCATTTCTATTTCCTTGTGTATCTTAAAATATATATAGAATATGCCAAACAGTTTCTGCAATCTGTTATTTATTTTTAATGTTAACTTTAATAAACAGTTATGTAATTCTCTTGCAGTTTAATTCTGTAACTATTTCTTCCAGGCAATAGGAAGATTAGGTGAAATTAAGTATAAAAAAATTTACATTATTGTAATGTTTTATGTATTGACATCTTTAATAACACCCTTTTTTGATAGGGGAATTAATGCATGAATAATATAATAAATTTATGAATCAATAAAATACAGTATAATTGTGTATGGTACTTTACCCACTTAATTTGCACTAGTATGGAATGGAACTCCCTCTATATAAAAAAATAAAATGCACAATGCACAACCTGTATTATAAGTACTATTAAAACTAAAATAAAATACCTGATGCTGCTTTACGACTATATTATATTCAGCAATATAACTTATAATATTAATACATAAATCTTTGGCTGGAATGTAAGTGCTTTGGTTGACTAAATAACTTATGATAGAAATAATAGGTTAAAGGCCTTATTTATTTTTTATTTATTTATTTATTTATAACCCTTGGTCATAAAAAATAAGACTTAACTAATTGCTCTATTTTTCTAACATATAATTTCTTCTCTTCTGTAAAATTATGTTTACATTATAATGAAAAGAGATAGATGAGTACTTTATTAAAAATACTGCAACTGATTTAGTTTTTATGAATAAGGAAGAGCAATGTATAACAACAAGACAACACATAATATTATGTAACAACACAATTTCTTATACAGATCATTAAGAGGTACTTTATAATAAGCATTATTTAAACTAAAAATATTCTTAATTTTTGCTATGCATCACAAGAGAGGAATATAGATAATTTTGTGTTAAATACTAAACCTATGAAAAAGCTTTGATATATCTTAATAATAATAGGCCATTTTAATTAACAATTAGCCATTGTACTTTCAAAAAAAGACTAGAATTCATTCATTTTAAGCGTAAACTAATCGGAAGGCAAGAGGCTTACTTACTAATTACATAAACACATCTTTTATATTTTGAAATTGTTTCACTGCAAGATCAACAGGGAGGTCAAAGTCATATGGAGTTAACTGATCAAGGCTCTGTAACGCATCTTGGAATCCAGTATTTACAATATAGCTAGTAGAAGAATAGTAATAATCAATAAGTGACCTACATTTTAAAATGATGTTTAACCATAATACAAGTTTATGTGTGTTAAGGGCTGCACATACAAATGCTTTAAAGTGAGCATCAAAACTTCTTTTGTATGGTGTGTGTGATGCGAGTATACCTCCGATAGCACTTAATAAGCTCTGTTTATTTGTGATTGCTGTTCCCCCAACTATATCCAAATTAAAGCTCTGACTTAGTTTTCTAGCAGGGGTTGAGTTGAATCTATCTCCATCATTTAACTCGTAATATCGCAGTATAACTTCCCATATATGTATATTTTGGGATGTTGATGATCTACGTACTGGAAAACAGCCAATCAAAGGTACAAGAGATGTTGTTTCGTGACCAACTAAACCATGTTGGAGAAGATCACGCAAATTTATAGCTAAATGACGACGCACTGCTGTAGTTAGTGGGGCATCATTTATAACTACACCACCTTCCTCAGATTCACTATCATAGCTATCTATTAGAGTATGAGGCCTCTCTCTTGATACAATGTGTAGAACAGCATCTATGGACATTTCTAATTTGGCTCTTAAATTACCCCAATGTGTAACAGTAGACTTTCTCTCATACCTTTTATTTGTATTTGGTGAACAACCAAATTGTGAAACAGTAAATATTTGGATTAAAGTTGATGCCTTCCTCATCAAGTTGATTGTTTCAGCTTTAAGCTCATCATTAACTTTATTCTTACTAAAGTTTTTATCAAATGTATTAGGCTTACCAACTTTTTTTGGCTCTGTATTACTTGATTGAGGGTTCCTTAGATTATCATTTTTCATAAGTTTTATAAATTTTTGCATATCATCAATATGGCTCTGAAGTTTGCTAATAATTTCATCTTTAGAGAGCTGTTTGTCAGCATATTGGCGGACAGCACAATCAATTTGATGCTTCAGTTCTTCTGTACTTAGAGGCTGGTGGCATCCTTCTACTAGACTTCTATCTATTTCAGTTCGCAGGTGCTCTATGAGAGACCTATGTTTTATATCATCATGTTTTGAAGAGTCTGCCGTGAACAGTTCAAGTTCTTTGAGTTGTAGTTTAAGTCTTTCAATAAATCTAGACTGCTTAGCCCTTTGAGTGTGGATTTTTCTCTCTAACTCAGCACATTCCAGACATGCACCTTCACCCGCACTGCCTTGAGGCGCAGTCCTTGAATCGACCGCTCGCGACGTAAATTCTTCAAGCGCTTGAAGCATAGCATCTTTTTCTTCTGGAGGAGCTTTTAATATTTGTCTTAACCGGAACTCCACCTGAGCCAGGTGAGATGATAATGAGAAAACAGACGAGGATAAAATTTCTTGTTCCTCTTCTAAGGCATGGATCCTGTCTCCGGAGGTCTGTTCAGCTGCTGTTTCTTCACATAGATTTTCTTTAGCTGCCCCTAGAGGTTCACATCGGGGTTCCTGCCATATAGGAATTCCTTCGTCTTCGTAATAGTCCATTGTAGCCATGTCTCAAATTCAATTCACTCAGGGATTATAACTGAATAATTTGATTTTCACATATTTTTCTTTACAAGAGTTGTTTTACAGTCTATCAAAAAAATAGCATACGCGAAATGTTTCTCATTTATATATTCTTTTAGATAATAAAAAAATTAATGCAATGGTTTAAAATATTTGTTTATTTTTTAAAGCACTAATCAACAGTAATACAATCGTCTTTACTCATTAGTCATTAGAAGATGAATCTGAATTCTGAAATCCGAATCGATGTATAAAGACGTCATCAATCAACTTTCATCTGTCTGACAAAGGTCTGTCAACTGTCACTTTCTCTATGAACAAAAAGTGTCAAAAATCAATTTACCGAAAAAGATAAGAAACTGTTAAACGACGAAAATAATAAAATTGAATAATATTACTATTTTATCATTAGGTAATCCATATATTATCAAATAAAATTAATTAGTATTAACAGCCAACATTTCTAAAAAAAGAACTCGTGGACAGTGACTACCAATTACAAGCTGTAACGACAATTCGTATTTTGGCAGATTTGCACTAGATGTCACTTTTACAGAAAAACTAATAAACTGAGATAATTCCATTTTAAAAAATGTATAATTCCCGAACGCGACTTGAAAACATAATATTATGCTGTTGTTTTACTAAATTGGACGTTACTTGCCCGACTAAAATAACTGTAAAAATGCAAGTAAAAATATTCCTTAGCTTATTTTTACTACCAGGTACTGTAATTATTATACATCTTGCATTTAGATGTATAAAACCAAGTATTTTCCATAGATATCTGTACGCTACTTTTTAAAATAATTCTTTATTATAAGGTTATATTTAAATAGTTCTTTATTAGTATGATAAAATTCCCTTTAAATGTAAAAAACACAATGATATATTCTCTTAACCGTATAAGTAGACGGATTCGAAAACAAATCGCCCATTACCTTGAAACAGAGCCTTTGTCCGGGAAAACTACTTATGTGAAATTACAGACACCGACGTCTAACCGAGCTGGGATTATCTTTAACGAGGTAGGCTCGTCTATTTATTATTTTACGAGCAGCCTAGGGACGTCAAAATTCTATTTTTTTCAAAAGATTTTCATAGAACTAGCTGCCCCCGCGAACTTCGCTTCTTCTTAATGTGTGTGATTTTACTTAGTCTACCTTTTTAGTACATACCAACATGAAACATTTTGCTATCAACCCCAGAGACTGTTCGGTTTTCTGGAATGAAAACTTTTTAGGTTTTTCTGTGAATTTTTCTCCATATAAACCTCAGAGTTCAAGTCATAAGATTTTAATCAACAAATAATAAATAGGGGTTGATCGTGTAAGGGAGAAAATTAAGGATTGTATGTATTTTTGTATGTTGTATCATAAAAAAATAAAAACAAAAAAAATTGACTAAAATATATAAAAAAAAATGGGGTTGACACTCCTTATCACTTAGATAGAAATATAGATAGGAGCAGATTCTCAGACTTACTGAATATGCATAAAAAATTTCATAAGAATCGGAGCTGTTTCGGAGGAGTATGGGAACGAACATTGTGACACGAGAATTTTATATAATATATAGATATTTTAAATGGCAAACGGAGCCTCCATTTCGTAAGTGATACTAGTCCATGGATGCGCTACAATAAACGGCTTTCTGTCCTTTCTTTCCTTAAAGTTCCCAAAGATTTGGTTCGTAACACTTCAAAAATAGCTGCTTCCAAAAAGTGGTGCAACAAGTGTCATTAAACGCTTTGCAGTGGAGACATCGAGGTGATATGAAATGTTTAAGATAAATGTTTCAAGTCAAAGTCAAAAATCATTTATTCAATGTACCTACACTTATAAACGTCAAAAAAAATTATACATTAAATGCTTCTAATTTTACATTTACTGCGTTTTCAAATCAAGGGCGTAGAACGGAAGAGAAGAACTGGCAATAAACACTCCGCCACTCTTTTTAATCGCCAAGTTTTTTGTTTTACACAACGTTTGTAAGGAGCTACAACCATTACACCATGTTCCACATGACATCTTAAGTAATAAATAATAATAAAATAAATTAAAAACAAAGATTTGTCCTCTATCAGCCGGAGGCATGGTGAAAGAGGAGCACGCACTTATATTCTCGAGCCGTCGTTAACTAATTACAATTTGATATTATACATAGATAACAAGTTTTATTATTTCGAAATTATCCTAAGTAGGTATCCTTATAATATAGTTTATATTATAATATAAGAACACGTTTTAGTGTCCATGAGCGGTGGTGATATTACCTAATCCTGAATGCCTGTTAAGCTAGTATTCTATAAAAAATATAATATTTTATAAATTCATTTTCAACCTATGATTTATCTTTAATGTAGGATATAAATGGCTTCACCTGGCCTTCAGATAAAAATATTTCAAGAAGTATCGAAATCCCGGCCTCCGTAAATGTCAAGTATGTCTCCTTCACCAGAAGTATTTTTATAAATGAGGAAGGAAGTTCAAAGAGATTTGTAAATATACTCTTTTAAATAATTTATGACTCTTTGTAAGCGGTGGTTTATATTATCTGCGTACAATAATTGATGTAGAGACAACAAACAGTCCCTTCAAAGAGTTTTGAGAAAGCTTTTTGAGAAGGACAACATTATTATTGCGTAAGGCAACATTTTATGAAAATATATTTTTGATTGCTTTTAAATAAAAGTTAATAATACTTATTAAATATAATTTAATTACTATAAGCAGAAAACAATTTTAACCCTATCTTTTCAAACTTATATTTTTCTAATAGAACCTAGAGCCGATTTTAATATTTAATCGTGATTGATAAAATACATAAAATAATACTCTCTACGTAGTATTACATCCCGTCTCAATAACGACAACAATTAAATACTAAAAAGTACTTTTTAAATTGCTGAATTTAGTTAAAACTGCGGATCTGTGTACGTTCTTTGGTCGCTTTATTGTCCTAGCCCGTAGCTAATAAACTCGTCTGTCGGTTCTCGATTGCTTTATCACGAAGATGCCTTAATATCGCAAGATATGAATAAAATAAGAGAGAAAAGTGCGGCAAAAGACGTCAGACGAAAATAAAAGAACGCCACAGAGTTCAAATAAAAATTGTTATTTTTTATGTAATTACTAACACTAGTCTGAAATAAATTTTATCTTTTTCAAATTCAGATTTTTCTTCTAGAGTCTCTTCGCCAATCCGTTAATATAGTTAAAGGTAGCGCTCATTCCATACATCTAGAGTCTTTTGCCTTATCTGATGTTTTACATATGACATATGACATATATGGGTATGCGGCGTATTCAGGTTTTGACCTTAGTTTTTCCACCGCTTCTTTTGCTAACGTATCCGCCCTCTCGTTTACTGGAGTACCAACGTGCGCCTTTACCCAGTAGAGGCTTACATGAGTTCCTCTTTTCCGGCACTCTTCCAGGCTCCGGCGGATCTCGGCTACCTGGGGATCGAGAGATCATCCACTCACAATAGCATCTTATGCTGACCTAGAGTCACTGTATATTTTAGCGTCACGCTTATTTTTATTTATGTGGCTAGTCGCGTTTCGTAGTGCCGTCAATTCGGCTTGAAAAACTGTGCAGTGGGGCACCATCTTAATCTTCTTGCTATTTATTTCCATTCAATCTTGCTTTATATTTGAGGCACTTCTCCCGCATGTGGGTTCCTCCACAGTGGGCACAGGCACAAACCAGATCGTCCTCTTCCATGATAGCACCGTGTTTTGGGTTGGCGGCCTATCTCTTCTTTGGCCGCTCGTTACCACCTTGGCATAGGTGCGTCTCCCTATTTTGCGTTCTTCTATTTTTTCTTCTAGACTCTTTTCCCTTCCATTTTGTTCACTAATATTTTCTTGGAATAGCTTGGTAATTTCTTCTAACTTTTTTGTCTCCTTTCCTATTCTTATCAGCTGCTCCTCAATCCCGTTTGATTTCACCTATCGTGTATTATCTATTATATCATTGTCTTTTCCTGTTTCTTCCTCGTTTCCTTTGTATTTCTTTTTCTCGTTTCCCTGCCTTGACTGGGCCTCTGCTTCTTTAACTAGCTCACAGAGTCATTTGATAGCAATGGTCACAGCTATTTTGATTTCCCCTTAAAAGTACGGGCAGCGTCTAGTTGAAGGAGGGCACTTTGTTGACTGGATTTGCTTCTATATGTTTTTGCGTTTGTCCAGGTTCTGACCTTCTTTTCCTCATTTGTTACCCCCATTGTTACCAATGGTCAATGACACCGGCGGCCACTACGGATGTCTGCGCACTAAGCTTATCTTGTTTATTAGCCTCCACGGTTGTTGCGGAGTATGGTTTTGTCGGTGTGCGCAACCCAAACATTTTTTCAATCTTGCTACAGTTTCGCTGGTCCTATATAATAATAACAATAATTTACAACTCCGTCCAATAAGACGGGTTTATAAAAGTCAATCAAATTATAATCAGTAGGTATATACAAATATTTATGAGGTCTTAAATCTAATGTCAATTCCCAAAAGGGTGGTTAGACAGTCAATAATTTAAACTAAAACTAGTCTCCTCTAAACTCCCAATAAGGTAGTGGCCGTGTCGCTGTTTAAAATTAAGTTACAATTATAATATAAAACTTAAACCAAATCACAATTAAATTTGCTTAATAGGTCCATTCCTAATAGATCACATTCATAAGTTATTATATATATATATGTCGGGAACGGCTCGTCGAAGTTGCAGCTCTATGGACCACCGTTGTCTCTGCCGATTTCCGTCGTCCTGGAGGCTTGGTTCGTGGTTGGTACAGTTTACTCTTTCTTCTTAGCTCTGTGGAACTACATTCGCTTTTATTTACAGCTTAGCAATCTTTCTTGTAGCCTTCGGTAAAATCCATTTTTAATAAAATGAAATGTGCACGGAAACATATTTTTGTTTCTATATTTCCGAATTTGCACGACAATAAATGCTCCTACAATAACGTAACAGTACAAATGTCACGCA